TTTTCTAGATTTGAGGGGAAAAAAAGAGTTTTGGCTCCAAAATGACATTTAGATTAGTAATTCTCTGAAAACAACCTAAATGTCTTCTAGTAGGGATTTGTGATGTATTTGGCTGATAGAATACGCTACGAAACTTGAAAGGAATGAACCAGAGCTTTATGTATCAACATGGATGGACCTCAAAATCAGAAATGTAGAGTGAAAAATGCAATTTCAGAATATTATATATTTGTTATGTAAATATCAAACCACTTAAAACAATGTCATGTACCAGATAATGCTTGTGTGTGTGTGTGTGTACATGTGTGTAATAAAAAGGAGACAAATTCACGATAGTTGTTGCCTCTGCGAAAAGAGGAAGAGGGTAGGGAGGGAACAAAAATCTCTATTAGAAAATTCCTGAGAAGATATGGTTCTTTTGTTTATTGGGTCCCTGGGCATTTGCTATATTAATGCTTGGAATTCTCTTAATGTTTTTGTAACGAAAAGATCCCACATAATATTTCCTAGTGAAACGGGTTCCAACTAGGAACCATATATTTATCAAGACTCTGGGGAGTGAGACCGAAGCTATTCTAATACATTCATGCTTCACGATGTCGTTCTGTGAAAAACAGAAGTTTATAGAATGAATCTTGAACGTGAGGTGAGCTCTAAGCTGATCTGGCTCCCAGGAAGCTGTGATGGCTTGCAGGTCCAGAGAAGAGAGCCTGGCGGCAGCCCGCCTCAGGCAGACCCCGGCTTGACACCTTCCAGCTTCTTTGAGGCCTTGAACAAGTTAACTTCTCTAAGCCTCTCAGTTTCCTCATCTGTCAGCACTGATGTGAGGATTCTGAGTCGGTACATGTAGTAGCACTCAACACAGATTAACTGTCATTATTTTCATCCTCACTCCTCTTAGCAGCAGCCCCAATTCTCCCAGTGAACTGTTTACATTCTCACCTCAGAATCTTTGCAAATGTTTCTCTGCCTGGGATGTTTTTCATTTCCACCCTTATGTCATCTGATTGACTCCTCAGAGGAGTAGTCTGTGAGTTCTCTCAAATTCTGCTGAGAAGCTTCCCATCCTTCCCCAGCCTGGGTCACTTTGTGGTCATACCATACCACAGTTGTAATTTAATAATTACCTAAATAGTTATGGCACTGAACGGTATTCCTTACTAGTAATGACAACTACTTGCTAATTTCTGCCTCTTGAATGGTAAACTGTTTTTCTTCACCACTTTATCTTCAGTGTCTAGAGTACGGTCTGGCTTTGGGAAATCAATTATTGACTAAATCAACAAAATTATAGTAGGGATTAAAAACTTTCAGAGTTAATTTTATCAGGAAATGAATTGCCTCCCTTTGCCTAAAGGATTAATTTAGCTGGTATTTGGAAGTAAATCTAGGATTATGTGATTTCATAAAAAGAATATGTATTGCACATGTATCAGTTTATTTGTAATAATAATTATAAGATACCCCAAATTAAGATTTGCAGCATATTTGTCATTTGACTTCAGAGGATCACCTGATGGATAGTAACATAACCATCATCACATTCTTTCATTTACTGTGGGAAGAAGGAAAATTTCCAACACTTGAATCCTAAGATTTGTTATCTGCTCATCTAATTGTTTACACTCAAGCTAACTCACTTTTTTCTTTTACGAATAGCAGTAGAGGAATTAACAAACAGCAAATGAGACTTCTTAAGGTGCAGAATAAACTAGGTCATTCAGAATAAACTGACGTAATAAGTAGCTTGAAAAAAAGGGATTTTGTAAATCAGATGGAATGTTACTCATAACTTTTAAGCAAACTACAAAACAGTAAACCCTTTGGAAGGGGGACTCACAAAATGGGAGGAAAGACAGGAAACTGATTTCTTCTTCGTGGTGGGTTTATTTACTCTGGGAGAGAAACCTAAGAACACTTGAAAATTTGAGGAAGGTCTTTGTGTTTAAATATTAGCATATTTTTCCAGGAAAGGCATCATGTAGCATTTTGAACTGATTGAAAGCATGAATTTATTGGTAAGTAGGGAGCAGTGCAAAATATGAGAAAGAGAGAAACAGACTTTCAAAGCATTGAAGGAGATTTTTATGACCGAGATGGGGTGGGGAGGTGAAATTTCAGGGCTAGGAAAATAATGCAAAGCCCTGCACTGAAAAAGAAAACTACAAATTGCAGCTTTGGGAGTCTTCCCCTGCCACCTTTGGAGACAAATGATTTTGTAACAGAGATCACTGGGAAAAATTACTTTATAGCTATATTTTCCCTTATTCTACCTCTCTTGTTAACTGTAGTGTGCTGAAATCATAAATAACTTCATTTTTAAATGCTGAAGATATATTCATTTATTCCTTCATTCATCAGAACATATTTATCGTGTATCAATTATTTGCCAAACTTGGAGGAAAAATACCCATTTCTTTCTTTTTTTATGGAAGTGCAACATGTATTAAGATTGCACAAAATTAGATATTGCTCAAAAGTATCACCTGGGGGTGTACTGGAAGATACCAAGATACACCTTTTTTGGGGGAAATTTGAAGGTGTGTGCTTGCAAATTTCTGCTAATGACTACTTAACCTATTTATTAACCATCTGCCCCCAAATCAGAGTTGGCAAGTACTTTTGAAGTCATATGGTTACCAGACTGCACTTTGGGAAACACTAGTTTCAATAACATTCCAATGCTTGAAATCAAGCTGCATCCTTGACCCTCAAGACCCACAGTCTTGATCCACAACATTGGCATCACCTGGGAACTTGCTAGAAATGCAGATTCTCAGGCTCCACCCTGACCTACCAAATAAGATTCTTCATTTTTAAAAAAATTTATTTTTTATTGAGTGTAGTGGATTATAGTGTTACTTTCAGATGTACAGCAAAGTGGTTTCATTATACATAATTATATTTTTTTCAGATTCTTTTCCATTATAGCTAATTACAAGGAATTGAATATAGCTCCCTGTGCTATACAGTAGGTCCTTGTTGTTTATCTATTTCATGCATAGTGTGTGTATCTGTTAATCCCAAACTCCTAATTTATTTCTTTTCCCCTTTCCCTTTGGTAACCATAGTTTGTTTTCTATGTCCATGAGTCTGTTTCTGGTTTGTAAATAAAATATGTATCATTTTTTTAGATTCCACATATAAGTGACATCATATGGTGTTTGTCTTTCTCTGTCTGACTTACTTCACTCGATATGATAATCTCTAGGTCTATCCATGTTGCTGCAAGTGGCATTATTTCATTCTTTTTTATGGCTAATACGAATCCACAGTTTAACAAGATGCTCAGATGATGCTGATGGACATTAAAGTTTATTAAGCACTCCGATTCAAATCCCTCCCAAGTGGTTTTTAGAACAGAATGTCTTTAGTAACAGTGACTCACTGTTCAGCAATGCAACCTGTATTATGTTTAGCAACCTAAACATTAGCAAGTTCTTCCTGCTGAGCTCAAAGCTAAGTCCTTGAATATTGCATTCACTGGCCTTGGCCTAACCCCCGGTAGCCTTCAGAACCTCTAATGCCTCTTTTTCATGAAGGCCATTCAGACATGAGGATGGACCATCTTGTTTTCCTTCCTTGATTTAAGCTCCGCCAGGTGTGACTAAATCCCCATCTGCCCAGCTGTTCCTGATGTAACATTGAGGTTTCTTTACCAACCTATTCAGTGTAGGGAATCTTAAAATGACCTTTCCAACCTTAAATTTGTGCTTGCTCCTTTACTGCAGCTGGTAGTAACTAGTAGTGGGTAGAGTTGATGGAAACCCAGGAGTTGCACTTTCTGTACAGTCAAGGAGGATTCTGAGGCATAAATGCATCATTCTCTATGATTTCCTTAGGTTCAAAATTCTGCCTCATGGTGGAGACTTTTATTATAATAATAGCCACTAAAGGGCACTGCTTTGCCTTTCTTCTAACTTCTAAATGCACCAGCTACTTAAGCACTTTAAAAGTGAAATGCATAAGAAAATAGGCATTTTCTGTAAATGTTTAAGAAAAAAATCCCCTGTAATCCACAATTCAGCACACCAACTGGTGTCATTTTCCTCTTTGAGTAACGAGTCACCACACATACATCTAACACAGAGAAACAATCTTCGTGTACTCAGCCTTTTCAGACTTTCTTTACTTGGTAGAATCTAAATATCTTTTCATGTTATTGTATGATTTTCATAATTAAGCATGATCGTTTTCTTATTGTAGGACATTAGCATTCATAAGTGGGTTCGGAAATAAAATATCTGCCATATTTTTGTTAGTTTTGTCTTTTGATATTTGTTTCCTAAGAATTTCTTTAAAAAATAACATTTTCTCCTAACACAAGAAATACAGAGCAGGCAGCTTTTGTTAGTTTGTTTTCGGATCAGGGTTGTTTAGTCTTGGAGAAGAAAAGCTGTAGCAGGAGCAATTTGAGATCTTTTTCAAAATTTTGGGGGGAAAGTGGCCCACTGCACATTCTTAAACTAGCTGCTCTTCTCCCTAACTTCCCACACTTCCTTTTTCCTCGCGTCCTTCTAGATATTTCTGTCCTTGGCCTCCGCCTCTTCCTCCTGTCTCCCTCTCTTCCCTTCCTCTTCAGAGGGTTTTCCAAAGCTACAGCTCCTTCCCTCACCTCTGTGTTGAACAATAAAGCTGTGTGTATGTGTGGAGAGGAGCTGAAAAGGAAGACAGATGGTTCTTTCATTACTGGGTTGCTTTGGATTAATTGAGCTCGATGTTATTTTTGTTTATTTTTTTTTTTTCAAGGAGACTGAGCTGGATCTCATGGAGATCCAGCCATGAGCGACAGTAACGTAATCTGTGCAGCTAGTTTTGCTGTTCGATTTTTTTTGTTTGTTTTTGGTAATTTCAGCATCCTGTCGAACATTTGGGGCAGGGGTCAGTAGGGAGTCGACTAAAATAGTGTTTTCAGTAAAAATTGTTTTTTAACGGCTTAACATTTTTCTCAGGTGGCCGAGCCATGCTTCTAAGCATGCTGTCATTGTGTTTTGTTTCAGTACTTGCAAGTGAAGGAGCAGAACAAGTTTTTTTGTCTGGGATAATTTCTAGTGCAGAGGCTCCAGCAACTTAGCAGACAGCATCCCAAGCCTCTGGCGCCCTTACCACATTCTTCACCCTCAGGAACAGAGGGCCTTTGGGAAACAGATCCCCAAAAGTGCAGGTAAGCAAAGGCAATATGACTGTGGTCTCATACTGCTTCAATGTAAGATTGAACAACTGAAATGTCCTTATGCAGTGTTTCCCTGCTGGCAGGTGACTTTAAAATACCCTCCCCTTCTTTGTATACAGCTGCCTGTTACTTTATCTCCTGCTAGTTTAACCTGTGGCCAAGGGCCAATGAAATTACAGATTATATAACCAATGACTCTTCAGCGTATCCCAAAGTTGAGCTATGAGATTTTTAATTATTGTTTTTATTCTCAGTCTGAATGGGCCTTCTTTGGAACTGTTCTAAACTAATATGGAAGCAAAGAGTAAACCCTGAAGTTAAAACTAGAATATTACATGCATCACAACTAGTACAGAGTGCTGTTAACCAGCTGTGTGAGAGTGAATGCTAGTTCCCTCTTGGTCTTTAAATGCTACAATTAATAATAATTTCATCGAAGTTCCTCCATACAATTTGTAGGCAATTCTCCTTAGTACTTGTGAATCCCATATAAGACACCAATTTATAAGTTTGTTCTGAGAAAGGGCTGGAGCTCAAATGTCCACCAGGAATTAGCTCCACATTTTACCCATGAGTCCATGTGGTCTTTTTGATGTGTTGAGGTTCATCAGAGAACAATTATTCTATTAGCAAATTTGTTACATTACTGTCTTGTTTGGAAATCATTTTGTGAAGGACACTTACTGACTGAGAACATTCTGCTTTAGTGGTGCTGGTGAATTTGGACAGTTAACAATGGTTTTGGAATTTAGTCCTTGGAAATCTCTTAGGTTCTTTATTGTTCACACCAAGATTATTCATGAGTGGATTCAAAGTCCTCTAGTGTCCTGAGCCACTGAGTTTGCAGAGCTCTTGAGCACCGTGAACATGGGCTTGGAGGTAGGGCTGGATCTTCAGGTTTTTACAACCAGAAACATCTTAATTAAATGAAATCTGGACTGTAATCCAGGTTACATTTGTTGGTGATTTGTGGAACTGCCTTTCCTGTCCATCTGTACATTTCCTGACATCAAGAAGTTGGAAATAGTTTGAGTCTTTATATTATAATGTGTAGAGCATGGATTCTGGTGTGTGCCTGGGTTCAAATTCCAGCTCTGCCACTTAATACTTGGGTGTCCTCAGGTGCATTATAACTTCTCTATGCTTTAGTGTTGTCATCTGTGCGGTAGGGACGACCATAGTACCTTTCTTAAAGGGTGATTTTGAGAATTAAAAGAATTAAAAATCTACAGTGTTGAGAGCAGCTCTGTCACATAAGTATTCAGGAAATTTACACTAGTTTTATTTGCATCTGTTGCACTGTTTATTCTTCGACCTCTGTTCTCTAGCCTCGGGCTGACAGATGCTCAACTCTTCATCCTCACCTTGTTAGATGTTGCTGATTGACCCCGAAATTTGCTTCTGAGCCTAGAATACAATATTTGAATCCTTCTCAACATTATAATGGATCCAGATCAGAGTATAAGATGAAAAATACTTGTCAGCTCAGATTATTTGTAAAATTTTTGATTTTATTTCTTGCTTCAAGACATCCATTTGATATGCTGATTGCAAATCAGGGTTATTTGCTTGGTTTTTACCAAGACTCAGCAGTTTTATTATGAAAAGCATAAAAAGGTATGGCTTCTACAGCCAGAAACAGGGTCTAATTCTAAGCTGAGTTTTGCTGATGAATTACTGCTTATCTTGAATATCTTTTGTTTTATATTTAGAAGCAGATGAGTAAGGCTTCCTTTCACAGATACTTTGAAATGTTTAAAGAATGTGCAGAAATGATAATGGAAGCTAAATTTTTGGAGGCTGTTATCACACAGTGTCATGAGTTCTTTAGGATCTTTACCAGGATGTTATGAAGTTAGTTTTTTAGTGAAGTCTTGGTATGTGGACGCTAATACTTCATTAGTTTCAAAGAAGAATTAAAAACAAGATTAGGAGTGTCCTGATCACGAGCCAGACGTTCTTCTAAGTGCTTTATATTTATGACTTACATAGCTCTACTAGGTAGTGTCATTAGTCCCACTTTACAGCTGAGGTATAACAAGGTAAAGAACATCCCACGGTCATGCAGCTAGACAGAGGTAGAACTAAGGCTCACACCCAGCGGGTCTGATTGCCAAGCAGGCAACCTTAACGTCTAGTTGTGCTGCTACCTACAAAGAATAAATTGCATGAAGAAGAGGATGAGAAGTAAGATGGAAGGACCAAATTAAAGAAGTCTCTGGTGCCAGGCTAAGTGATTTCATGTGTATTTGGCAGACAATGGGAAGCCGCTCAAGGCTTTCCTGTGTGGTGGGTGACAAAATGAGAGCTGGGCTGGGAGGATTTGATGCCAGTACAGCACGTGGTCGGGTTTCAGGGAAGATAGATTAGAGATCATTACTAGTAGCTGGGAAGTCATGGGTTTAGAAAACAGGATTCAGGCAAGAGCTTGGGAACACCTATGGTTAGGCATGCCGAGGAGGCAGAGGAGAGTCAGAAGCACAGGCAGCAGGAGTGAGACCCAGCCAGGGCAGTGCCACCCAAGGGATGTGTTTCAGGAACTGAAAACTGCCCAAATCAGAGAGAACTGGGAGGAAACAGAGACTAATGGGTTATTATTGTGTACCCACGGTGAGACCGGAATCCTGCTGGAGGAAAATCCACATGAAAATATTCTGCGCTGCCGACACTGCTACTTGCCAGTGAGGTCACCTTTGGCAAGTTATTTTTTCTAAATCCCGTCTGTCTCTTCTGTAATGTGGTGACATAAGACCTTACTCTGCCTAAATGCCCTGACCTCTTGCAGTCTTTCCAGTTCTAAGATTTGTAATTCCTGGTCCCAGTTGTGAGTAGCAATACTTGAAAATGTTGTGAGTGCTTGGCTGGTGATTCACTTGGGCCTTTTGGGCGAATCAGAAGTCCTGGAGGTATAAACGGAGGAGTCCTGTGTATTTGCTCTCAAATATACCAGCGGTGATGCTGGTAGGAGTAGAAGGCTAAGACTGAAAACAATACAGGAGTGCAAACGTCCCGGGAATTTACAGAGACCACAAACATCCCCTAGAATGTGACGGACATTTTTCTCAAAGCTCCTTATTTTCAAAGAGAGTCTCACTAGTTTATTCAGAGAAAATTCTGTTGGTTGGAAATTTTAAAAGGTCAAGCCCAAAAGAGATAGCCTGGAACTTAGAAAGAGCTTCCAGTTCCTCTCAAACTGTGTGTGTGTGTGTGTCTGAATAGCAGGAGTCTAAAATATATTTTTGCTTCCCACAACAGTTAAGCATACTCGTGTTGAAACAGTGGGACTTGGCTCCCTCACCCAACTGTGAGCTCTGCTCCCCATGTCCTGAAGTAGAGTACACACGCGTAATGAGTGCTCAGTGGTAATGGATTCATCCATCCTTACCTCTGTCAGTGATTTGTATTATTCAATGGCGTCAGTGATTTGAATTATTATCAGCAGGGGCTTTTTCCTTTTAATGGAGAGATTGAAGCAAATCTGTCATTCAGAAATAGCTACCAGAGTATAATAGAAAATTTTCATATAAAGTTAGACATTGACTTTATGACCCATAAAAACATATGCACACTCAAAGCCTTCTACTTGAATTTTCAATGTCACTTTGTTTATAATAACCCAAACTGAAAAGAAACCAAATGTTTGTTAGCTGCTGAGTTGATAAACAGGTTGTGGTTATGGTATAGCCATACAATGGAATACAGATTAGCACTGTTGACTGATAAAAAAAATGCACAACTTAAAAGCTGAGCGTTATGTTTTATTTGGTGGCCTTTCTGAGCACCGTAGCCCGGATACAGCCTCTCAGGTAGCTTGAGGAACTGTTCCACAGAGGCGAGGGAGGAGGCAGGATATACAGGAGTTTTTGCTAGGGAAAAAAAATGTAGTCAAACATCAAAAGATTGTTGCTAATACAGACATCTCTGTTAATGATCATAAAATCATGAAAATCTTAGTGATTTTAGTGCTTTCTATGTATGGGAAGATGTACCTGTCTGAGCTTATTGAAGTCATTCCTTTGATGTGTATCTTATTTTTTTTTGGAGGGAGGTAATTAGGTGTATCTATTTTTAGAGGAGGTACTGGGGATTGAACTCAGGACCTCATGCACTCTACCGCTTGAACTATACCCTCCCCCCTTTGCTATGCATCCTAACAACCTGTGGCCAGGATCCTGTTTTTCTCTTTCCTGAATCCCCTCGGGGGCGCCATGGGTGGGTGGGGCGCCATGGCTGCTGTGGCTGATGGCTTGATGGGTTGACTGAAATGGCAGGCAACATTTCTTTTGTCCACAGCAGTAAAAAGGAATTAACTCCTAGCATAAGCAACAACATGGATGGTTTTTTCCCAAAAGCATTATACTAATTGAAATAAGGCAGAAATAAGATACATACTGTATGATTCCATTTATATGAACTTTTAGAGAAAGCAAAGCTGTAGTGATTAACAGATTAGGGGCCAGAGATTAGGGGAAGAGAGTTGGCTGCAAAGAACACGGGGAACTTTGGGGGCTGATGGAAATGTTCGGTATGATTTTGGTGGTTGTCATACAACTATACACATTTGTCAAAACTCATCAAACTCTACACTTAAAAGTGGTGGGTTTCTTTATAAAAATTTTTTACCTCCATAAAATTAATTTTAAAAATTGGCCACACATCATTAACGTTAACTCCTTTCAGGTTGTCTTATCAGTGTGATATTAATATAAGAAATAGAGAAAATTTCCACCCTGGGAGAAGAAATGGGTGTCTGGCAGAAAATATGAATAAACAGTAGGAATATGACAAGTTCCCTTAAAAGCTTCTTTGTGTATTTCAATGAAGCTGAGTTTAAAGGGAGAGATTTTGAAAACAGGAACTTCAGTTCATTTATTTTTAGCATCTAATATAGTGTCCTATTAGCTGAATGATTTTAGTGTGTCCTGCTGTGCTATTAAAAAACAAAATTCTGTTGAAAAGTCATTTCTCTCCCTTTTATATTTTTTGCAGTGAGCACATCCAATTTTCGAGGCAGGATTCGGTCATCTGCTTTAGTAGTGAGGGCTTTGCTTTTATTAGGTGACAAGGTCTGTCTTCATATGCTAAGGTTGAAATCTGGCAAAATCATTGGGTTTTTTTGTTTTTGTTTTGTTTTTTAGTGTCAAATAATCTATAATTCAAAATTAACAGCATTAAACAAGGTAAAGAAGGATATTCTATAATGCCAAAAGCCACAATGTATAATGAAGTAATTAATTACTGTTATAAAGTTCTATGCACAAAACAATATAGCAGCAACTTTAACAAAGCAGAAATTATAGAAGATAAAAGTAAAACCAGATAAATCCACACTAATAATAGGAGAATTTAGAACACTTCCCTCTGACCTAGACAGACTGAGGAGAAAATACCTAGTAAGGATAAAGAAAACCTAAATAAATAATCAATAATGTATACCTAATAGCTATATATCCAGCTCTGTTCCATGATAATATGGTCTATTCCTTCAAGTACATGTAGGTCATTTCTAAAAATAGACTATATTTTAAGTCATAAAGAAAATCTAAATTAATTCCCCAAATAGAAATATTATTAAGAGCAGTCTGACGAGGATAAATAGAGGTTGTGACATGGTATCTCACTGTGGTTTTGATTTGCATTTTCCTAATAATTAAAGAATTGAGCATCTTTTCATGTGCTTATTGGCAGTTTGTATACCTTATTTGGAGAAATGTCTGTTCGGATCCTTTGCCTTTTTTTGTTGTTGTTGTCAGATTCTTTTTCTTTTTTAATTTATTTAAAATGTGTATGCCTGTTGAGAACAAAACTTACAACATTCTCTGGTAGGGTTTTCAACATACATGTAATACTTCAGACAACTATGACATAAAGAATGGAGGATAAATGGATATATATAAATACATATTTATATATATATATATATATATATATATATTATATATATATATGGTTTATATGGTTTTAGGCTTGAAATGAAGGGCTAGGAAGTCCAGAAAATAGAGGACCCATGGTGCAGAGATCCTTTGGTAACATGTTTTCATATGATGCATACATGCTGTTAAATCCTTTCACAAAATGTTGACACTTTTAAATGTGTTGTGTAAGGGAAAACATATTTAAATTATTTTAATAGATAACATTTTCCTATATTGCTAAGTTTTATTTTTCCCTTACTTATCAACCTCTTTGTCTGGAATCATTTACAAGAAATATATGAGAATTGGATGATAGAAACAGCAAGGGAGGATGAAGGTCATTTGTAGTAGTATATGCTACCAGAAAAGAACTTTGCTTTCCTGTAACCATAATTTAGATTAACATTATATAAATATCCACATACTTATGCAAATGAGACAAATACCCAGATAAGTGACCAGTATAAAACTCTTTTTCTGCAGTGAGTTCTCACAAGAAAAGAGATACCAAGAAATTGTAATTAATCCTAGACAATTATCTTAATTCTCCAGTTATCACTTTTGGAAACAGACTCAGAAAATGTTAGTATAAAAATATAATGAAAACAGTCTTCAAACTTTTTTAAAAAATTTACATGTATATACTGTTCATTGTTTCTAAGAACAGTTAAGAGCTTTAGCTTTTATACTAGTTATCAAGGGAATAAAGCCTACCACAAAATAAGAATCAACAGAATACAGTGATCCATTCATAAAGGACAGTCAAATGTACTTACACATATTCAAGAAATCAGTTATCTAATCTGTAAATAATAAATAGTTCATTTGTATTTTTTTTTTTAGATTCCACATATAGTGACATCATACAGCATTTTTCTTTCCCTTTCTGGCTTGCTTCACTTAGAATGATGATCTCCAGGTCCATCCATGTTATTGCAAATGACATTATTTTATTCTTTTTTATGACTGAGTAATATTCCATTGTGTGTGTGTGTGTGTGTGTGTGTGTGTGTGTGTGTGTATACACATACATATATATACCACATCTTCTTTATCCAGTCATCTGTTGATGGACATTTGGGTTGTTTCCATGTCTTGGCTATTGCAAATAGTAGTGCTGTGAACATCGGGATGCATGTGTCTTTTTGAATTATATTTTTCTCTGGGTATATGCCCAGGACTGGTATTGCTGGATGATATGGTAAGTCTATTTTTAGTTTTTTAAGGAACCTCCATACTGTCCTCCATAGTGGCTGCACCAGTGTACATTCCCATCAACAGTGTAGGAAGGTTCCTTTTTCTCTACACCCTTTCCAGCATTTATTGTTTGTAGACTTTTTAATGATGGCCATTCTGGCTGGTGTGAGGTGGTATCTCATTGTAGTTTTGATGTGCATTTCTCTAACAATTAGTGATGCTGAGCATCTTTCCATGTTCTTGTTGGCCATCTGTCTGTCTTCTTTGGAAAGACGTCTATTTAGTTCTTCTGCCCAGTTTTTGATTGGGTTGCTTGTTATTTTGGTATTAAGGTGTATGAGCTGTTTGTATATTTTGGAAATTAGTCCCTTGTTGATCACATCATTTGCAAATATTTTCTCCCATTCTGTAGGTTGTCTTTTCATTTTTTGATGGTATCCTTAGCTGTGCAAAAGCTTTTAAGTTTAATTAGATCCCATTTATTTATTTTTGCTTTTGTTTCCATTACTCCAGGAGCTGGTTCAAAAAATAGATTGCTGTGATTTATGTCCAAGAGTGTTCTGCCTATGTTTTCCTCTAGGAGTTCTGTAGTATCTGGTCTTACATTTAAGTTTTTAATCCATTTTGAGTTATTTTTATATATAGTGTTAGAGAATGTTCTAATTTTGTTCTTTTACAGGTAGCTGTCAAGTTTTCCCAGCACCACTTATTGAAGAGACTGTCTTTTCTCCATTGAATATTTCTTGCCTCCTTTGTCATAGATTAATTGGCCATAAGTGCGTGGGTTTGTTTCTGGACCTTCTATTCTGTTCTGTTGATCTGTGTGTCTGTTTTTGTACAAGTGCCATACTGTCTTGATTACTGTAGTTTTGTAGTATAGTCTGAAGTCAGGGAGTGTGATTCCCCCAGCTCTGCTCTTCTTTTTCAAGATTATTTTGGCTATTCAGGGTCTTTTATGTTTCCATACAAATTTTAACATTTTTTGTTCCAGCTCTGTGAAAAATGTTGTTGGTAGTTTGATAGGGGTTACACTGAATCAGTATATTGCCTTGGGTAGTTGGCCATTTTAACAATATTGATTCTTCCAATCCAAGAACAGTATCTCTTTCCATTTGTTTATGTCATCTTCAATTTCTTTCATCAGTGTCTTATAGTTTTCAGAGGACAGGTCTTTTGCCTCCTTGGATAGGTTTATTCCTAGGTACTTTATTCTTTTTGGTGCAATAGTAAATAGTATTGTTTCCTTAATTTTCTTTTCTGCTATTTATTGTTAGCATATAGAAATGCAACTGATTTCGGTATATTAATTTTGTATCCTGCAACTTTACCAAACTTGTTGATGAATTCTAGTAGTTTTCTGGTCGCTTGTTAGGCTTTTCTACAGTATCATGTCATCTGCAAACAGTGACAGTTTTACTTTTTTGTTTCCAATTTGGATTCCTTTTATTTCTTTGATTGGCTAGGACTTCCAAAACTATGTTGAATAAAAATGACGAGAGTGAGCATCCTTGTCTTGTTCCTGATCTTAGAGGAAATGCTTTCAACTTTTCCCCATTAAGTATAATGTTAGCTGTGAAGCATTGGTTTTTTTGAAAGACTGTAAGAGGTGTGTGTGTGCATGTAGGAATTAGCTGCACATCATTGTATTAGCAGAAGAATTGGTTCCAGGGAGAGAGAAGTTAATTATATATATTCTTCTGGTGTGCACAAAGAAAAAAAAACTATGTATTTAGGAATCAGCCAGAATGTATACATTTGGTCCTATTCATTGAAACTATGCAAATAGCTTTTGTGGGGGTGGTGGAGGAGTTTACATAAATTAAATTATAATTTTCTATTAATTTACTTAGTAATCAGATTTTTCCCCTTAATTTGATTAAATAGCAGTAGCTGAGAACTTCAGGTTTAAATTTGGCTTTGTCAGGTGGTGTAACATTGCAGAATACTTAATTTTATGTGGGCTAAGTCTTTATTTTTTAATTATGGCCTATTGAGAATTTTCAGATCCTTCTAGCAGAAATCCCATCAACCAGACTACTAATTCCTTAAGACTTATCTCTTTAATTGTGAAATGAATAGTTTTTCATATTACAGTGTTTGTAAGTAAGTATATTAATAAATGCATGTATTTAATGTGTATCATTTCCTTGCTTAAAAAAGGTTCATGCTGTTACAGTTAAAAAAAATACAGTAGATACAGTTTCCTATAATGTACAATTTAAAAGTTTCCCACAACATACAATTTTAAAACCCAGAAAGCTCTCTTGCGTGGGGATGATAGCAACCCTGTTTTCATCATCATGTGTGAAAGGGGCTTAGTGCGGTGCTAGGCATTTTGTAGGTACTTAATGAAGGGTGCTATTGTTTACATGATCATCAACACTGGAGCTCCTTGGTAGATAACGAGGTTACCAGACACATTTGGATCCTGCCATTAATAATAGGAACTATTACTTAAAAGAGGGGTAATAAATGAGTTAAAGAGGCCAGAGGCCTTTACATCCATGGCAGTGAGGTCCTGTGTGTCTCCTTGCAGGCTTGGGCTATATGGTGGTGGATAGGGCTAGGAGGCTTAGGGGACCCATGGTGCTAAAACTGAGATGTTAGTGCGTAAGTAGAGCTAGAGCTAATGCTCACGGGGGTATGTGATTCCAGAGGAGTCGTAAGCTGATCAATAACTACAAAGAGGAAGGAAAGTAAGATGTGAGATCTGTTGCCGAGTTCAGACGGTGCAGGGCATGTGTCAGTGTGAGCAGAGAACTGATGGAGACCTGAATGGAGAAGGGCCTCTCCCAGGGCTGAATGGAAACAAGCTGTCAGCAGGCCCACCTGGTAAGATTCTGGACGTGAGCCTTGAATGGGGGAACCCAGCTAAGGGGAAACTGTGGCTGAAATCCTGCCCACACCAAAATAAGTGCCCACGGGGCTGTGTGGAGGCGAGGATGAGGGGACGGAGTCCTTTTCTAATGTGCACAAAGATGCAAGTTGTTGAGCAGTTTTGTTGAGCAGCTGGGGGAGAGAGGAGACCGAGCAGCAGCAGAGCAAGACATCTGTCACTGAGGAAGCGGAGGGTCTCAGGGGACAAAGTGGATAAGGACGTGGCTTAGGATCCTAGTTACTAAAGTATTGAAAGTTTGGTTGCAGAGTTGCTGGGGTGGCCGAGAGGGAGAAGTAGACCTTGAAAAACTAGGATGTATGTAATTCAGGGACCCGGCAACAAGAACTCGAGTCTGCTGAATGAGGTTAATGTGGGCTCATTGGGAACTTGACCAAACTGTTGAGCTGCTACTCAAGGGCTTCCCAGGCTCCCTTTCCTTTGGGCCAGCGATTGGGGTGGGGCGGAGCCTACAGGAGGGCATTGGAGATGTCTGAGGCCAGGTGTAGAGGCCATCGGGTGTGGAGCGGCCAGGCAGGCTGGGTGCATCTGTGTGTGCAAGGGTATTTCTTCCCTGGAGTCGTATGATACTGAGTTACCCACAGTGTTTTTGGGCTTGGCAAATAGAATGATGTTTCTAGAATTATTGCTGAATGTATGCTTCTTTCTAGCTGGTTGTTGGAAAAAACAAATCCCCTTTGGTTTGAACAAGCTTTAGGAGAATCTAAAAATAAAAATCTGACCATTTTCAAGTGTCATTCAAGTGTCATAGGGTTTTTGTTTTGTTTTTTTTAAGCAATGCTGTTATGGTCACTTGAGGGGCTCAAGAATGTGCTTTGAAATAAGAACCCTCCAGTTTGATTCTTCTGCATATTGAGGTTTGAGAATCACTGCTCTAGGGACACTCAAAGGAATGGAGAAAAAAATAATGGATTTCCTGAAATCCAGAGAAATGGGTTGAGGAAAAACAAGGTTGTGAGTAAGAGGGTTTTATTTCAACACAGTCTGTGGCTATCAACTTTCTCTCCCTTGCACCGACTCCTAGAATTTATGCTGCTTAAGGAGCTGGTGGGATGGACACATTAGACATTCTGTAATGTTTAGTCCGGTATCAGAAGGCTAGACCTGCGCCTGAGTGTAAAAGCTCCCATCCGGAGTGCAGCAGCGCAGGGCGTGGGCTCGGGGATGGTAGATACAGGTCTGAGTCAGCTCAGGAAAGTCACCGCTCCTCTCAGAGCTTCGGTTTCCTTATCTGTGAAATGGGAATTGGAAGTTTACTCTTTCCCTCCCAGGGCGGTCGTGAGGATGACGTGAGATACTACACCACAAGCCTTTATCAGAGATTATGATTCTAATCAGCCATTATCCATTGGGCATTTGCCATGTGCTGGGCATTTGGGGTAAAAAATTAATACAAAGCATCTAGTTATGGGATCTGTAACTACATTCAGAGACTATCTACTGAGCATCTGTGTGACAGGTGTTGTTAGAAGTAAGGTAATAAATAAATGGAAATAAAATGATGGACAAGTCCTGCTCTCACAGAGCTTGCCATCTAGTGTCTAGTGGGATAATTACTGTAATATCTGTTACCGTCTCTGTATTTCAGTAAATGTTATTTTTTTTTTCTCCATGGTTCTCTTGAGTGTCCTAGAGCAGTGATTCTCATACTTGAGCACCCATAAGAATCAGACTGGGTGGGAGCTTCTTTCAGCGCATGTTCTGGAGCCCAGAGACACACAGGTGAATTAGGGGTTCAGAACTGTGCACTTTAATAAGCCCCCAGCTGGCGTGGACCCCCAGACCTGCCACCCTGTCCCCTTCACCCAGGTCTGAACTTACCCTTTTGGAATGCTGGCCACCACGGTCAGGAAGTTACACATGAGACTTCTGTCTTTCTAGTTCCTCTCCTGGCTTTTGTCTTGATAGACAGGATGACACTAGGAATAGAACTGTGAGAAAGAAATGGTCAGGCTTTAGTCTGTTTTTGTCTGTTAGACTGTGTGAACTGAGACAGCTCAACCTCAGAACCTTTCAGCTCCCTCGTTCGTTAAGATCATCCCCGCACGTTGATTTATCAAGCTGGTTTTGAATCTTAAGTAAAGTGATGGCTATACAAGCATTTATGAATTTATAAAATGTGCTTTTATTATTAAAGAGAAGGAAAAACTGTTGCCAAGATTGAGCTCACTTTGGTATATGTAGATTATTCATACTTTGGGTTACGTATCATCATTTGAGAAGAAATACATATTTGGTCTCTGCCAGTGAGTCCTGCCCACCCTTGATGCCCTGTGCCACACTTTAGATGCATGATTGCTTTATGACTTGCAGTTTATAAAGGATGTTTTAAGGACCCTGGTCTTAGTAGCAGCCCCATCCAAGAAGCTGGTATGTTTCATTTAATGTCAAGACCATGAAACTTGTTTGTTTTAGTAATTGAAGCTATGTTGAAGGGACCTTCCCCACCCCACCCAACCTTTAAAACAGGCACTCGATGTTAAATTCTAACTGGTTTTCCTTTGAAATCTTTGGCTCAAAGCAAAATGGTTATTTCATCCATAGAATTAAAATTAGAGAATTCATTTGTTTGTGAAAGTTTTTCCTGTGAGCAAGCAGAGGAACTCCACGTGTTTATCACAAGGATATCCTGGCTGGCCCTGGGTGACGTTGCAACTGGAATGTGGCTGCCTGGAGTTGCCTGGGGCACGTAGAGAGTGGCAGAGCTGAAACCTCTCACACGGTGTATGCAGTGGCTCCTCCAAGAGAAGGTTCATTTTACTTTCTGAGGACAAAAAGAATAGTGTTTTCTCACACTTCTTTGTTTTCAGCTAAGCCACAAGTGGGTGAATGAAAAACAGTAATTCACTCATACTTCTGTGCTCTGTAAAATAATACATAAATTTCTCAAAGAATGTGTTTTGAGGGACAGATAAGCAAATTGAGTTGTAAATCCTGAGTTCTTTCTCTAGACCCCCACGTGCTGTCTTCAATGTAAATATGTTTTGAAACATTGCTGACAGTGATAAGTGGCTTCCTTGTTGGGTATTCGCAAAACTGGTCTTATTCTGGGTAGAGTCTTAAACATATTTAATTCGAGTATTTAAGTAGGTTGTTTGGTGACTCTTTTGGCCCGTGGTAAAGGTCTTCTAGGGCAGTCTTGTGCCTGACATCAGTAATTTCCAAAACTGTCTCGGTACAAGGCTAACTTGGGGTTCTAGGACTCCCTGGGTTGCCAAACACCCCTGATGTCTGAGACCGTCAGCGTGTACAACCAAAAAGGCTTAATTACGGTGTATTTTCAAAGGAGTCACAGGGTACAGAAAGAATTCGACTGTGTTCTTTGGATTCTTTTATATTTATCCTCCATTCATGTTTGCCTGACACCTGTATAAAAAAACAAAACCAAAGCATTCTGCCGAGGCCAATTCAGTCAAAGGGAGGAGCCACACCCCGTCCACACGGCTCCCTGTGTCCTGTCAGCATGGAGCGTGGACCATGGACTCTGGCCAAAGTGTGTAATATTTTCACTTCTCTCACGCGTGAAAGGGAAGAAACAAAAAGCTAGCCCTTGTTGGACGTGTCACGAGGGCCAGGCTCTGGCTGGCTGTCTTGTTGTCTTTGTTTCCTCAGTTAAGCACTTTCAGTGATGCATCCAACTTCCCAAACTCCTCACTGTCTCAGACTTGTACTCTGATCATCCCAAACCTTAATTCTCTCCATTACTTGGATTTTACCAATTATTTCTCAGAAAAACACAGTATCATACTTTTTTTTAACCCACTAATGATCATGCAATTTATTTCTTGCATTTTACTGAGAAAAATTTAAGGTGATTTTTAAAGTCATGCATAATACATCAAGACATACACTTTTTATTTTTTATGTTTTGGGGTGGGGGTAATTAGATTTGTTTGTTTATTTATAATGGACAGCACTGGGGTTTGAACCCAGGATCTCGTGCAGGCTAAGCACACACTCTACCACTGAGCTATCCCCTCCCCAAGACAGACATTAGAAATGTGAGGAAGACAGAACAAAGTGGGAAGGGAAGCACGAGCTTGAGGTGGCCATGTGTCCCTTCCGTGCTGTGCTCCTTTGCCAGCGAAAGACGCTGACCTTTCTGCCACAGCCACGCGCAGTCGCATCTCCTGTGAGGCCCGTGAGAATGTAGCACTGGCTGCATCGAGTCTCCCTTTGTCTTTCTCAAACCCGTGCATTTTACTGTGTAGAGGAAAGCACAGCTGGCTTTAGTTTTAGAAAACAAACAACCATGAAATACACACACTCATTCAGCACATATTTTTGTGTCATAGGTTATGCCGGACGCCCATCACTTTGGCTAATCAGCCTAATAACCGAAACTGCTGTGTGCTTTCACTTGTCACTTGTTGGCAAAGGTAAAATGATGGACCTAAGGTCCGCCAAGCCAGGAATTATGAGGACTTGGGCCCCGATTCATGTCTTCTGATTTCTCACCCGTGTTGACCCTCATGGGGATTATATCCACTAAATTAGAAGCATGTGTAAAGTCTGCTGGTTTAATGCATTCATTTACTTCCTCCTGACTACAGTCATTTCCAATTAGTATATAATAGTGGCATGTGGGGGCGGTGGCGGCCTTAATAGCAGTGAGGAGCAGCAGCTGACAGCAAGGGAGGCGACACTGCGGGATTGTCACTACAGCTTAGGGGTGCTTCCAAACAGCCCACACCCTCCTGAGCTCCAGAGGGTCTCAACTCTAAGGGAGCCCAGAACAATTACGACATTCATTACGAGGTCCTCACACCATCAAGGAGAGCTGAAATTATGTTTAGTACACTCTACTTAAGACAATGGAGTGCTTTAAGAATCTAACCAGACTCACACGGTCTACACTGCATTGCCCCATTTGAGGTTAAGAGATACGGGCAGGAGTGAGTGGAGTGATACCTTCATGTGTCTTGATGAATCAGAAACTCGACAAGAGATGCACAGAAATAGTATATCTGTTTAAGTAACATGCAGTGAAATAGAAGGTCTAGTATAGAAACATACTAAATTTGTGTTTGGCATTTAGTTACAAATGGAAGTGAGAACATTTATTTCTGCCTTTGAAGCAGAAGTGGGAACTAAACAAAATGTTTTAGACTATTAAAAATATATTTTGTAAAGAGGCTTTTTGTGCATTTGTTTTCTAGAGAAGATTGTGTCCATTTTTTGGTCGATTGATAAATGTGCAGTGAACTATACTGTCCATTTAATATAAAAACAAGCAAAAAATTAGCTAAATTTACCTATGCCGTGATATGGTACATCTAAAAGTATATAAAAGTTGAGAATGTGTGAAGTATTTTTTTGAGGGGGGAGGTATTTTTTAGCAACTTTGTTTCTCTAATTCTTTCAAATTGGGAAAAGGACTTTTAGCATGGATAGCATTTAAGAATCATTTCAAGCACTGGTGAAGCAAAATGTTTATATTTTAAGGTGTAGATTCACTTTCTTTTGAGAGAGACAATAGATATTTTTTAATATTTCTGAAAAAAGGTTTTGGATATTGATTAGATAGGTAAAATTTTGTTCCAAATGAAATTTTTTTCTTACCTAACATGGGAAGGTAGTACGGAAGCCATTAGCTTTGAAACATTGGAACTGCTTATTGGTCTAAACATGAATTGCGTTGTGTTGATTAAAGAGGATGAGGAGAAACAGAAGAAAATGTTCTCTTTTTGACAATTTAGTGGGTGTTTCCAAAATAATTGGCTTCCATCAGTTTTTTCTACTCTCTCTCTGCCTCTCTCTTGTTCATTCACTGATGCTTGTACGTAAGACGTGTGAATCCATCTGTGTAACAGTCTCACTGTTCCTTTGGCCTTCGTTCCTTGTGTTTCAGGTGGGCCAGCCATGAGAGGGTACCTTGTGGCCATCTTCCTGAGTGCTGTCTTCCTCTATTACGTGCTGCACTGTATACTATGGGGAACAAATGTCTACTGGTAAGTTTCATTTTTGCTGTTTAAAAATGAGTCTAAAACTAGTCTTTAACACAGACATGCGAATTATGTTAGAGGGACCTGTTAAAAAAAACCAGCCTGTAATGCTTTGAACCTTGTCTAGCTTTCCCATCATAAATTGGGGTTATACCGTTCTAATACCCTATACATTGCATCTAACAGCTTAAAACCTGATAAGCGACACCATCTTTTTCTTGACTCTTTAGTGAAGCAGGGGTGCTGACCATCATAACATTCTTCACTTACAGTATTTCATCTTTTGAATTGATGGAGTCATTCTTGGACTCAGTGATACTTGATTCTTAAAGCCTAAAATGCTAGAAGAGACTGTTGCTAAAATATAGACGCTGCTATGGTTTCCTTTGTTTAAAAAATATTTGGTGAATAGTGACATAGGTACATTTTGAAACCACTTTGACTTGAAATGTCATGTCTAAAATTGGAAGAGGTGCAAGTAGTTTTATTGCAGAGAAAACTTCTTTAATAAACTTCTTGTCCTTTTCCCTGTTGTCAGTCCTTTGGTGAGGAATACAGTTTTGATGGCCTTTAAATCCTGAATGGGTGCTAGTACATGACATCACAGTAAACCAGGTAACAACCTCCTGTCTTAGGAAAAAGTTCAGTACTTTCTGCCACTGTTTCAAGAGAAGATCCTAGAGCATGTTTCTAGGGTTTTTTGTTTTTAGTTTTTTTTGCTTTGTTTTTGTTTTAACTAGATGATAAAATAAATGGATGCTTTTGTATTTCATTTCATCATTGGTTGACTGAAAAATCATTGTAATGCTCTTCATGGACTGAAGGAAGACAAATGGTTACTGGAAAAACCCAATGCCAGGTGGATGGATTTGGCCCTAAATTTTGAGGCTTTAGATTTAAATATTGAGCTAGAGGTCTTAGAAGTCTGGTTATACATCATATGAGGGTTCTACCACAGGCATCTCTGCCTTCACCTCTGCCACATCCTGTCTCTGCCCCACACTTAGTAACGGAAAATAAGAGCAGAAGAGAAAACACAGGGTTTACTAGATGGCTACTTCCGCACCAATCCTGTCTTGTCATGGAGAAATGATAAAGAAGACAAAGAAAAGGGTCTGAATTCAGCGCAGTTTTGTCCTCAGAATTTGAGGAATGTTCGTGTCACTCCTAAGCTAACAAGTTACTCCAATCACAGAAAGTCTCGTGGGAAATTACCTCGGATGCATGTTTGTGCTGTGAAATTGCTTCCTTAAAACTATTTAAAACAGATATTTGTCTTTTTTTTTTTTAAAAAAAAAACGCTCAAAGTTTGTCTTCACAGTATCTCAAAACAGTTTTTTTTTAACATTTTTTATTGAGTTATAGTCATTTTACAATGTTGTGTCAAATTCCAGTGTGGAGCACAATTTTTCAGTTATACATGAACATACACATATTCATTGTCATTTTTTTTTTGGTGTGAGAAAATAGTTTGTTTTTTAACAACCTTAGAAACCAAGTAATATACTTGGTTTTTTTCTCTGAATATAATTTGGTTTTTATGGCTTGGTGTGCTGGTCCCCATATTTATATACATTTCTTACCTATAAATCAAGAGACATTTTTGCCATTTGGGGTATTTACAAAAGATGTGTCTCTGCATAAGAACTTAGCCTCGTGGTTCAGGAACCTAGCAGTTCTAACTGGGGATTTTGTACCAAAAAAGGGGAGTGGGGTGGGGAACTGAATCTATCCATAAACGGTTTGGGCTATTTCTTCCAGTTTGAGCCCTGTGAGTATAGAAGAAAACTGATTAGTTTTCTTTTTTAGATTAATTCTCCACACAGTTGATGGTCACTAATACATTCTTATCAAGCTGTTTTCCTCTTTCCCGGCTGAGCCTAGATCTCCTCCCTCCTCCCCCCGCCCCCGTCCCCTCATTTATTTTCATTGTATGTTCTGTCCTGTTCCACAATACCCTTTTAAATTGTGGAGACAAGTGCTGCATTCAGGAGACACACAAACACCAAACACCAACCTGTGCCAACAACAGAGGAGAGTCAGATATGGCTCTAAATGGTGTGATTCGTGGAGTCCCCAGATCGCCAGCAGGGGCTGTGGCATCTGCTGAGGGCAGTGTCTCTGTGCTGTTTACTGGATGCACGTGGGGACGCCTACCGCCAGCAGAAGCTGGGTGCATTCGGGCTGAATCGGATTTGTCAGGCTTTCGGGAACTTCTGAAACATGAGCCCGGTGGTGCCTTCCACAGTGTTGTTGTCCTGGTTCTTCTCAAAGGGTTCTTTTGAGTCACTGCCCTTTGAACCCCTTCTGGGTCACTTATCACCTCAGCCTTCTCCACTCTCTCTTGCTTTGCATCCATGAATCCTCAGATGTGTCCAGGACTTGGCAAAGGTCCTGTCATACCTCAGGGGCCACATGAGGATGTTTGTTCCCGGTCTGAGAGGCCTCTCAGCTGGGGCACCACGGGGGTTCCTGGGGCTTTTGGTTTGTTTTGGGCGGCTGCCTGGTTCTGGTTTCTGACTGATGCTGTTTTTGTCTCACAGGGTGCCACCTGTGGAAATGAAGCGGAGAAATAAGATCCAGCCTTGTTTATCAAAGCCAGCCTTTGCCTCTCTCCTGAGGTAAAAATATGAAAGAAATTGTGGCACACAAAATGTTCGAAATGTGTTTCTAATCATTTTCCACACTTTTTTTTCCATGCAAATCTTAGCAGTATAAAGTTGACACCCTGTATTTAAGAAGAGCTTGAATATCCTGTGTGTTTTTATTTTTTTTACTTTTTATTTTTTTTCAGTGAAGGTACTGGGGATTGAACCCAGGACCTCATGCATGCTAGGCATGTGCTCTACCACTGAGCTATACCCACCTCCCCTGTGTCTCTTTGTGCTTTTAGTCAGAGCTCTACATATATTTTGAGAGAAGACGTTGAAGAACTCAGGCCAATATTCTTTTCAAAGAAGTGATTGTAGACAGGTCTGTTTGTGTTTAATCATAAAAAAAAGTGAATGGTCCTTTAGGGGTTTATTTTCCCGTCTGGTTCCCATGTTATTGTCCATTCTTACTGTGTTGTGGTTTCTTCTCCCTTGCCTCTAGATTAAACTTTACAGTAGAAATTTGCCTTTCACAGACTTTCAGTGAACTCCACAGAATGTAAATAATGGTTTTCGTTATGGTTGTCAGGACTGGTAGAGAATTTACTCTCCCATCCTCCAGTACGCTTTTCCTCTGTCACCCCATCTTTGGCGGATCGCTGGCGAAAGTGTTTCCAGATAAATAGAAATAAATGACAGTTCTGGTCTGGGCATGTTGAATTGTGTAAAACACAGACGAGCGTTTCAGCATTTTATCGACTAAAGATCACAAATTCACCTTTTCTTCTCTTACTGTCTTTTCTTACATCACCGCACCTTTCTGTGACTGGTTCTTTCACTTTCGGGTCTACAGGTCCCTTCAGAATCAGCCAGTCCTCCGCAGAACGGCAGACACATGAACTGCTTTTGCACGTGGCTGCAAGTGTGCTGTGGCGGCTTGTAGCTTATCCCCGGCTGGGTGTCCAGTTAGGACTGCTGCAAAATGAGAAGCTTTTTCTTTCTTTTTTTTTTTTAACCGTAACACATAGTAAGAAACACATTTTACTTTGGAATTTAGTATGCATACATATTTATAATGAATAACAAAGGCATTTTACCCTTCCTACTCCAGACACCCAGTATTCTCTTCTATCACTTTTTTAAAATGTGCGGCTCGTGACTTACAGAACTGATTTCATGAGCCACCTCTGGGTTGCAGACTGCGGGTTTTACAGCACTGCTCTAGAATCAAGGTACTCTTCAGCTTTAGAGAAAATAGATATTTCCTTTCTGAGAAAACCCAGAAGGTCTAAAGTATTCATGGAAGGTTGCCCAGCAGTTGAAGTGACCAGCAGATGCCCACTGGTCACGTGACCCGTATCCTCAGGAGGCGGGGCTGTCTCCTCTGCCAGTAGCCGTCAGGAGAAGCTCTGCTGGGAAACTGGAAAGTGTTACTTGCAGTGCTATGAAGAGGACATCTTTCCTTAACATTGAACTTGAGTATGATCTCAGCTTTGTCAGGTGTGGGTTAGTGGCTCCAGATAATAGTTACTTCAGTTTTCACAGCTTCAGTTTCTTTATCTTGTCAACCGAAAAAGTGCACAACCTAAAAGCTGAGAATTCGGTTTTATTTGGACATCTTACTGAGAACTGTATTTCGGGCAGGCAGCATTTCAGATAGCTCTGAGGGATTGTTCCAGAGAGGTAAAAGAGAAGCCAGGATATATAGGAGTTTTTGCTTAGAAAAAAAAGAAGAAAAAAACCATGTAGTCAAACATCAGAAGGTTACTACTAACACAGAAACAGCATCTCAAGTTAATGATTGTAGTGCGTTTCTATGTATGAGAAGACTCCAGAGTCTGGGCTTATTGAAATCATTCCTTTGATATGCATTTTAACCATCTGAAGCTAGTATCGTATTTTCATCCATCCTGAATTTTCCTCAGGGTGCACCATAGGGGTGGCTGATGGCTTTATGGCCACAACATCCTTTGTTTACTGAAATGGCAGGTGACATTTTTTTGTCTACAGTGTAAATTAATTAGTAAAATTTACCTTCCTTTCCAAGCTTGTGTAGGAGTAAGGACAGCAGAGACATAACGTAATGTGTTACATTATAATGTAATATAACATGCTATAATAAACTATAATGTAATGGATAATTATTACAGATAAGACTGGTACTTATTGAGCATCCCCTACTATGTGAGACATGGTGCTGACTACTGAAAAAAAGCCACAACCTTAAAGCTGAGAATTATGTTTTATTTAGGGAATTACTGAGGACTTAAGCCTGGAATACAGCCTGTCAGACAGCTCTGAGGGATGGGTCTGAAGAGATAGGCGAGGAGCCAGGGTATATAGGAGTTTTTGCAATAAACAAACAGCAAACAAAAAAAACGAGGTAGTTGAACATGAAACGATTACTGCTAATTAAAGAAAAACTAGACATCTCAACGTAATGAATTTCATACTTTTCTGTGTATGGGAAGATGTGATAGTCTGGACTCATTAAAATTATTCCTTTGATGTGTATCTTAACTATCTAGGGTCAGCATCCTGTTTTTCCCCCTCCTGCACTCCCCCCAGGGTACACAGTCAGGGTGGCTGCAGTGGCTGAAGGCTTGCTGGCGACAGCATTCTTTGTTTACTGAGATGGCAGGCAGCATTCTTTGTCCACAGTGCTTAACAATGATTGCATTTATAAATAAAATGTAAGTCACCTAGGGCAAGGTCTGACTGGAATAGACATTAACCATTTGTCACCATCAATTTTCACTGCCCCCCACCCAAAGATTAGAGACCGTCATTGCCTTTACCTCAACGTGCAAAGTCGTCATGTTTTACTTTCCCAAGGAAGCCTGGGAAGATCTTGAGTCTCCTCTCAATCTTAAGTCAGGTGACCTGACACTTCCTCTTCCCAGAGCAGATCCTAAATTTAGGGATCAACCCTGACACAGAAAATGACCTTTCAGGGTTGGCTGGACCCTCCCCAAGGCTGCTATTATGTGGCACAACTGAATCTGGGACACACTGCCTTCTCACTGTGTAGGAAGGACTGGTCTCTCACCTCTTTGCTTAGTCTGAATATGGTGTGAATTCTTGCTCGGCTCTGAAATCTTGAGCTCCTTAGTGGCTCCTGAGTAGCAAAGCCAAGATAGAACTGAAGTTAATTCGCCCCTGGTACGCTGCTGTTTATTTCCATTTTGTCATGCAAACCCCAGGGGCACTCTGATCTTTACCAGCAGTTTTTATACCAAAAAAGAGCAAAACTGGTAAGGCAGGAAAGATCGGGCCATGTGAGGGGGTTGGGGTGAGAGTTTGCAGTACCTAGTCCTTCTGGTAGGTGAGGATAGCGTCTTAATATGTGCTTGACCTATTCCTTCTCTTTAATTAAAAAAATTTTTTTTATTTCTTTCTACTTCATAATGGTCCCATTAAGAATTAATTTGAAACTGACGTTCATTCAATCATTTATCATTTATCAAACGTATGTTGTCTGCCTGCTCTGGGCCAGGAGCTAAAAGTGAGAAAAAGCAGGCGCCTCATCACAGTCTCTCTTTCGTCTGAGAGGGTACCTGACGGGGAGCGAGAGGGACAGGGCAGGTGGTAAGGAGACAGATACCCATAGTTCTTGTTCTTGAGCAAATTTTAATTTAATGACATTAGGAAAGAGTTTGGTTCCAGCTACATCTAACTGTTAGTGTCTTTATTTTCACAGCTGACAACAGCTTTATACCTAGGGCATCTTTTCCTTTGGGGGCGGACTAGCATCACTACTTTTATTGTCCCTTATTACTTCCTTTCTTTCTTCCTGTATGGGGCTGTACTTGGTGGTGTCTTGTTTTTAAAGTTGGTGCCCCCCCACCCCCATCACCAGCCCCGAAGCTGTTACGTAATTTTGGATCCACGCCTGGAAAGTGTGTCTGGATGTGCAGTTCCATTGTGTATCTGACTCTAGGCAATATTTAAATAGTGTTTAAGATGATTTTTAAAGAATCTTAAAAATAATTCTGTGTTCGTATATAGTCAATATAATAATACGAATGACCTACTGCAGTTATTTTCAGTTGTGATTTTAAAAACCTTCAAATATTATATGCATTTGAGAAAATCATTCTTTATCCTTTTCTTCCAGGTTTCATCAGTTTCACCCTTTTCTGTGTGCAGCTGATTTTAAAAATATTGCTTCCTTCTATGGTAGCGATAAATTTGATTTGCCCTATGGGATAAGAACATCAGGTCAGTAATATTATTCTTACCCTGCCTTATTAAATATGAGTGGTGTTTGATGTGAACCATATGTTCATATAATTTTAAGGCCTTTGGATCTTTCCACTTAATAATGATTCCTAAAGGATATCATTTTGGGATTGGATGAAAAGGAATTAAATTTTAATATATAAAGCCCCACCCCTTTTGAAGCAGCGTAGAATAAAAGAATAAAAAAAGGTAGAATTTTTTGTTGTTGTTGAGAAATTGCTTTTTACTTTTGTTTTGCCACCATATGATTCACAAGTTACAATGTCTTACTTTATTCCAGTTTAGAATTAGCAGGACAACCCTGTGGGTTAACTCTTTCTCTGTCTTCCATTTCACCTCTTCAGCTATGAGTTTTACTTTAATTTCATCTGCAAGTTTTAGGCCCTTGATCAGTCTTTTCATTTAATCGTAGGATAAATTTCTGCTAAATTTACTATTTACTAATGATGAAACACTTTTTCCCTCTGCTTGTTAACAACTAATTTGCCTTACCCAGCTTTACATTCTAGATTTTTGATTGACTCTAAAAGCCTAAGAGCTAACGAGCCCCAGTTAGATTTTCTTATTCAGTTGATCCTGCGTATGTGTGTGTTTAAAATATATTGCAGAGAATTTGATAATCTAATAGGTTTAAACTTGCAGAATATTGATTTCTATACCAATGTTAGTTTCAGAGTCATCAGATACAGTTAATTTTGGTTACTTTTTTATAATTGTTTTCAGATTAAGCACCTTATTTATCTGGGGTTTTTGGAAAATATTCTTAAAGCATTTGCTATTTTGAGTGTGCCTGTTACATGGTGCTGGCAGATGGCAGTTGTAGTATGAATTGTCACCAAAGAGTAAATCGCAGGTGGCCATAACAGTTTGAAGTGGGTTTGGGGGAGGGGAGCAGATAAGGTGGCTTACTGTGTGTCTCAGAAGTCATGATTGCTTTTATTCATAATGCTCCATTTGTTTTCTAGCTGAACATTTTCGACTTGCTCTTTCAAAACTGCAGAGTTGTGATCTCTTTGATGAGTTTGACAAGTGAGTTTGTTTCCTTGCTTCTTTTATTTTAAGTTTTAGCTAAGGTGATTCAAAATAAGCACCCCATTGTAAATATATTCACTCCGGAAGATTCCATAGCTTTTGTGCATAACTAAAATGCCTGGGAGTTATTTCTGTGACACTTGAAATAAACAAACCACAAACCACAAAATAATTTAGAAGTTGCTTAATTGGTTGGCTCAAAAGTATGCAGTCTTTTTTCTTTCTTTCTTTCTTTTTTTACTTTTTTAAAAATTGAAGTGTAGTCAGTTTACGATGTTAGTTTCAGATGTACAATAAAGTGATTCAGTTATACAAATACATACATACATATATATATTTTTATGCAGGCAGTCTTGATGATGCTCTGTGCTAGTCCTAAGTCAGGATATTTTTAATCCACACTCATCTTTTCTAAGTCATTGTTGCTGAAGAATTAATTCATACTCCCTGTTAATCATAAGCTCACAGCCTCTTTCCATGGGCTGCTTCCCATACCTTCCCACACATCTTCTGAACTGCTCACTCATGAGGATCTTTTTTGTTTATATATCAAATATTGGGTGTCAGAAGCAGCTCTCTTCCTTTTATTAAGAATTTTATTTGAGGGAGGCAAACAGCTTGCTTAGGTACAAATTTTCTGACTACAAAAGACAATTTAGGAAGGGGAGGGTGTAGCTCAGTGGTAGAGTGCATGCCTAGCATGCACGAGGTCCTGGGTTCAATCCCCAGTACCTCCCTCAAAAACTAAATAAATAAGTAAATAAACCTAATTACCTCCCCCTAAAAAGCCAAACCAAACCAAAGTTTTTTTTTTTAAAAACAATATAAAAGGCGATTTAGTTTTTAGAACATTTTGGTGTCAAGTTAACCCCCTAGGAATTGAATTGCCAAAGACAGACTTCTTAGCAGGTAGGCTCACTTTACAGAGGTAGACTTACTTCACAAAGTTTTAAGCTACGTTTAGAACTTGACCAGTCCAGTGGGATGACATGGATGATGTGCCGATGAGAGGCCTCCATCAAAAAGGAGATGGCCGAATTTCCCTCTTGTCCACAAGAACAGAGGTGCTCTTTGGTGGGTGCAGAAATCGGGGTTGTGACCAGAGGTGTGAAAATGGAGACAGTTTACAGAACAGAGCTGGAGGAGCAGTGCTAGATTTTGTCTGAGTTTATCTCATTTTTCTCTGTCAGGGGCCCAGACTATTGAAGAGTGGATTATATAATAACATAGGTTCATTTCAGTTTGTACTTACTCTTTATAATTTAAAACTGTGCCACCAGCCCAGTCAATTTTAATTTCTGTTTGCATACGCAGAGCAACCATACATACTCTTTTCTAACTAGAGTTTATGCAGCTCTTGTCTGTAGAATATTGTTTTGTGCAGACCTTTGGCATACGTGCTTTATGTCAATTCTCTCTATTTTTCACAACTACCCTGCAAAATATACTTGATGATCTCCATTTTTTTAAATTGAGAAACTGAGGCTAGGCAAACATTTGTAGTTTCTTGTAACTGCTAGATGCCAGAGCCAGGATATGAATCTGGATGGATCCTCTAGTGCCTGGATGTTTGCTTTAAGAGTGATAATAGTTAGACCTTTGATATTTGCAGCAGGTGTCTGCAAATATTTGAAAAAAAAAATCCTTGGCCCTGTAAGTGTGAGCTGCTGTCAGGATTCTTGATGGTATGTGATCAGAAGTTTCATACTTGCCTGGTTTTTATCTCAGAACTAGCCTGGGCTTTTTTAGCTGCTTTCCGAGCTCCTTCCTGCAGAGGTGTTCACCATCATGTGTGTGTGCTTCAGCCAGGCTGTCTCCTTTCTTCTTGCTGACTTGGTCTGGCTGCTCCCCACCCTTTCCCACTTTGTCACTGACAGTGCTCCCCCCACCCAAGCCTCCATCGCTCATATCATCAACCCATGTCAGTTCTTAGCATCACTAGTGTCGGGAGGGAGGTGGGTGTGGATGATGGAGGAGGGACTGAAAATCAAGCTGATTGCACCAGGATTCTTTAGTCTGAAGATGTCAAGAGACTGAAGTAGCATCACTGTACAGTCAGAAATCCTTCAGGTACAGAGGGAATGGAAACTACCCCTCAGAGTGAGCACGATGATGCGCTAGATTCTCAGCATGGCTGAGCTGCTTGTTTGATGTGTGCAAACTCGCTCCCTAGACAAAGAGTATTTTGAAAGTAATTAGGTAAATATACTTGTGATAGTAGTAGCTTCATTTACATACTACTTTTAGGAGGAGATCACATGTACTAGTAAATTTTACCTTTATTTTAAGTAAGTCATTCTGCATTGGTCTGAAACCCACAGTACAACACAGTGATGACATCAGGCCAGCCCATGCCTGAGCAATACATTTTAAGTAAGCTCCAGAAGGACAGAATACACTCAGCTGCCTGTTGCTGCCTCTCAGTCAACTCAGTTTGTCCCTCAGGTGACCTTCTGCATCTCCCATTTCTCCTCTCTGCCTGGGAAGAAGGCTCTAGAGGAAAGAGGTTTGAGAACAGTCTTTCTTTCTCAGGCAGAGGATCTGGACCTCCCCAGTGGGGAGTATGCCCGGCGCTGACTGTGGACTCGGGAGCTGGTGCCCCGTGCCCGGGGGGGAAGCCCTGTCGACATGGGCTCCTCACTCTCTGTCTGGGGTCTGTAGGTCGGAGGGAAGGGGCTGAAGTGGAGAGAGGTGAGGTCCTCCCTTCCAAGTCTCTTCCCCCTTTGGCTGTTCTGTTCGCCCTCTGTCCTCTGTCTCTTCCAGTAAGGTTCAGACACTTTTTGTTGTTTCAAATCTGAGTCCTTTACTTATTCAGCATATACGATGCCCTCAGTTGGGGTGGACTCCACTGTGAACGGGAGAACTCCAAATATCAGTTGCATTTACAAGATGCAAGTTTTCCTCTTTTTCTCAATTGTTGTGTAAGTGAAGTCTCGGGTAAGCATTCTCAGGCCAGCTTAGCAGCTGTCATCATAGGGACCAAGGCTTCTCTTTTGTGTCTCTGCTATTCCTCCTTGTGGTCCAGTCCGATGGTAGGACTTCCACAAGTCATATCTACATTCTGGCAAGCAGGGAGGACACAGGGGGAAGGGCATGTCCCCAGCCATTAAGACTTGCCTCCTTCTTTAAGGACATTTCCC